GCAGCGCCCAGAGGCTTGGCCCTGAGCCTCCCTGCACCCGTCTGTGCCCAAGCCCCCACGGAGCGACAGTGACGTAAACCTGTGAGCCACGCCCACCAACCCACTCATACAAATCCAACAAATGGAATTATTAAGAATTCCAAGACAACAGGGGCGCCTGGGTGGCGCAGTCGGTTAAGCGTCCGACTTCAGCCAGGTCACGATCTCGCGCTCCGTGAGTTCGAGCCCCGCGTCGGGCTCTGGGCTGATGGCTCAGAGCCTGGAGCCTGTTTCCGATTCTGTGTCTCCCTCTCTCTCTGCCCCTCCCCCCTTCATGCTCTGTCTCTCTCTGTCCCAAAAATAAATAAATGTTGAAAAAAAAAATTTAAAGAATTCCAAGACAACAATCTCAGAGCGTTAAATCCCAAGCCTGAGTGTCGAGCTCTGTGAGGCTGCCGGCCCTAGATGGGGCAGGTGGAACTGTCACCAGAGAGGGACACGCGAGGCTGTTATTTCTATGCTCGATACTTCAGGAACACGCACAGCTGACTCTCCCTCGTAAAGAACACGTCATCTGGATACACAGAATGGCAAAAAATAAAAATAGGAAAAAAAAAAAGGGAAAGAAAAAGGCACGGGGCGGGGAGGAGGAAGGTGTAGGCAAGTGAGGCCTAGTTAATGGCAGGTAATACACAGGCCCTCACGGTAGCCTTCGGGGCCCATGCTACCGTCACCCCACTTTACAGATGAGGAAACAGAGGCTCTAGGAGTGGAGGACGCATCCCGTACCACACAGATGGGTGAGCGCAGAAACCAGGATGAGGAACCCACGCCACCGTGCGCCAGCGCCCAAAGTTAACCAGCGCGCTAGAAGCTTCTCTGAAAGGGCTGCAAGCTGCTTTTCTTTCAGGCTACTGAGTTGGCCCTGACCTCCCTGTGCCCAGGAGGTTGCAGCCGGCAGGAAGGGGAGGCAGAGAAAGGTGTCCCCGCAAGCATGAGTGTGAAAGGCCAGCCAGACTTCCAGAGAGCAGCTGGGCTTGGCAGGGGCGGGCCCTGAGAACTTGCACTTGGAGCTGGCCCCGCCCCCCCTGCGGGGAGTTTGCAGGCTCCCCGGTCTCCTGGAGGAGGAGGGAGGGAGAAGGAGGTGGGCCTGTTCTCTAAACAGTCTGTTCTTCTCACCAAGTGTTTGTCCTTGGCCCAGCTTCCCTCCCCAAAGCTGAGTAATCTAGAAAAATTGCAGCCGGGCACCGAGGGGCAGGCCCAGGGGCCGACCTGGATCACGGCCCCAAGCGCAGTTCTTGGCAGGCTCACTCTTGTAAGTTTGTAACTGTTTAGACCCGAGGACAGGAAGCACCAGATGCCCTCTAGAGGATCAGGCCAGCCAATGGGCAGAGCCACACTGGGCGTCTGTCTGGGCGGCTCAGTCGGTTGAGCCTCTGACTTCCGCTCAAGTCACGCTCTTGCGGTTCGTGGGTTCGAGCCCCGCGTCGGGCTCTGTGCTGACAGCTTGGAGCCTGGAGCCTGCTTCGGAACCTGTGTCTCCCTCTCTCTCTGCCCCTCCCCCGCTCACGTTCTGTCTCTCTCTGTCTCAAAAATAAATAAACATTAAAAAAATAATAAGAGGGGCGCCTGGGTGGCGCAGTCGGTTAAGCGTCTGACTTCAGCCAGGTCACGATCTCGCGGTCTGTGAGTTCGAGCCCCGCGTCGGGCTCTGGGCTGATGGCTCAGAGCCTGGAGCCTGTTTCCGATTCTGTGTCTCCCTCTCTCTCTGCCCCTCCCCCGTTCATGCTCTGTCTCTCTCTGTCCCAAAAATAAATAAAGGTTGAAAAAAAAATTAAAAAAAAATAAATAAATAAAATAATAATAAGAAATCACTGATTTACCCTATGACCAGCACTCCCGGCGGCACCTGCCACGGACAGCTGAACATGTGTGAGCTTTTGCTGACGATGCCTGACGCTCGGCCAGCCGAAGAGCCGTTGCCAGCTGAAGCCCCTTCTTCCTGTCAAGAGAGAAATTGTCGGGCAGTGGACGCACTGCCTCCCGGTCATTTATACCTTAGCGTTTCCATCAGCTTTTGGCACTTTCTCAGGAGGATGCCGTGACTGGAAGGAAGGAAAGACGGCGGCCGCCCCCGGCCAGAGGTAGGGACAAGGTGACCGGGGAAGCAGGTGCCACGTGTAAGACGTACAAGAGGCTCCCGGCCCGTCACGGTTTCACCTGCCACTGACTCTGTCTTGGGTCCTGCCGCTTACACCGAGGCCCCTAGCTAAGCTCGCATCGCCCGCGGCCTGACTCCCCCGTGGCACGCCAGGCGGACCACGCGTTTCTCTTTTCGTCAACTGTTAAAATGAAACACTTGGGAGGGACTTCAGGGTCTGGGTCCAAGGCCAGCAGGTAACCCCGAGTGGGCCATATCCTCCTCTGGAGTCTTCCGACGTCTCGTGTAAAGTTAGACAACGCGGAAAAAAGCCTTCCCAGAACTGTTGCAGCCGGCAGAACACAAACCCAGTTGTTCGTGGTAAGCCCACTCCTTGGTTACACCCCTGCCCTCCCCGACGGAACTGCAACTGAGCACGTCTCAGGGTATCCGTGCGCATCGGTGGAGACCGGGAACGTCTCAGGGTACCCGTGTTCATCAGAACCACATTCTGAATCTGGAGTCTGGTATCGGTCTGGGGGGGAGTCAAGCCCCCCAGGCTCTAGAGCGATGCTGTGCAAAGTGGTCACCAACGGCCCCAGGTGGCCATTTCAATGTCAATTAGCTAAGACCACCTACGACTCAAAATTCGTCGCTTGAGCCTCATGTCGAGCATTCACAGCCACACACACTAGGGACTGTTGCCCTGGACGGCAGAGGTTACAGGATGATGCCATCATCACAAAGTTGTACAAGAGACGCTGTCCCACAGCGGTGCTTCCTGCTAGCTGCAGGCCTGGGAGCAAGTCGCTTACCCCTCTGGGCCTCAGTGTCGTCATCTGCAAAATGAGAGTTAATCTAGTCAACAGCAGATGCTTCACGGAGGCCCTGCCAGGTACTCTTCGAGGGGCTGGGGATACAGCAGTAAGCAACACAGGGAGCTAAAATCATGGCCCTCGTGGAACAGACCTTCTAAAGGAGGGGCCGCCCTTATCTCCCAGAGCTGGTTTGAGAATGAAATGAAATAGGGCAGGAAAAGCACATTTGGTGGTTTCTGGCACGTTCCAAGAGCTCAGTAGCTGGTAGCCGCTAGTGTTACTAGTTATCAGCTCCCTTCTCCCACGCCCCGCTAACTGGGATGGTAAACACATAACGGTCCTGCCCATACTTCTAATCCTATACCCGTGGCAGACATTGCTAATCGATCACAGCACACTCTCCACTGAGCCCAGAAGTGGTGCCTGAAGGATTCTAGGAATAGAGCGTCAGGCAGCACTCTCAGACAAATCCCCTCGGAACTCCCATCACCCTGTTCGACATCACCTCTGCATTCCTCTACAAGCTGCCTGTCCCCCCCCCCCAATCCTGGATGCTGGACCCCCGTGGTCCTCCGGAAGGTCAGACTCCAGGCCCAGGCCTGCCCCCACTTGGGAGAAAGTATTTTTTTTCAAATACTGAAGTGTCTGGTCAGTACCTGGTCAGCTGAGCAGCTGGTCTGCTCTGACCTGCCAGGGACTGGCTTCTTGAGTCACCGCCTCCCGGAGTGGGTTCTGGCTTTGTTCCCACCAGGGCTCCTGGGGTCTCGAATCCTGTCCCTCTTTTTTGTTCCAGAAAAGTGGATTGTTTCCAGGCAGGGCAAATAAGTCCTGGCCAAAAAGGTCTGAGTGAAACCCAGCGCGCGTCCCCCGTGAACACACAGTTGCGACACGGAGAAGATAAGGGATGGGCGGAGGAGGCCCTGTGCCCCGGGGACCCAAGGGAGGCCGGGACACTGGGTCCCTGGGAGTCGGCTTCACAGACGAGATGCATGTCCTGCACTGCAGCCTCCAGCCAGAACCCTTGCACTGCCTGCCCGAGCCTCGCTGTCCTCCACTGCGGGGACTCACCCGGAGGGCTGTCCTCTCTCCGGATCCTGTGTCACTTCCCGTATGCCGGTCCCTCCAATCATTCCTTTGGCACGGCAGGTAGTAACGACACCCGGTGTCGTCGTCGTCGGGAGTTCAGCTCTCCCGTCTACCATTTACCAGCTGTGTGACCTCGGGCAAGTTACCGAGACTCTCTGTGCCTTGCTTTTCTCCTCTGTGAAACGGGGTTTACAACCGAGCCTACAGGGAGCATCTGGGTCACAGGAAGAACTTGCATAAGTCATTGCAGAGGGCTTAGCAGGGTGCCTGGGGTGCCGTACTCAGTCCACAACACAGGTTCACTGCCGCGGTCAGTGTTTTCTTTTTTTACTCTGTTGGCGTGGTAAATTTCATGAACTACTTTTTTTTTTTTTTTTCGAATACTGAAGTTTTCTGGCACCCCTGGGATAAAGCTTACCCGCTTTTGACAGAGCGATCGGTGACTGACATCTGAGCTATTCACAGGGGTACGTGGGGGATCAGTAGGCAGGTGAAGGAGGAAAGGGCATGAAAGGCAGAGGGAACAGTGGGTACGAAGGCCGGGGTAAGAGGCAGCAAGTGAGTCCAGGGGCCCAACCTGGCTTCAACCAGGGGAGCTTACGGGGAACAGCGGGAAACGCGGACTCCAGGAACATAGAAACCCGTCAGCACCGAGCTGCGCGTCTGGCACTGGGTGATTGAGCACCTTTATTTAAAATTTTTGTTTTTGATGTTTATTTTTGAGAGAGACAGAGACAGAGTGTGAGCAGGGGAGGGGCAGAGAGAGAGAAGGAGACACAGAATCCGAAGCGGGCTCCAGGCTCCGAGCGGTCAGCCAAGAGCCCGACGCGGGGCTCGAACCCACCAACCGTGAGATCGTGACCTGAGCCGAAGTCAGCTGCTTAACCCATTGAGTCACCCAGGTGCCCCAAGGCAGCTTTATTTTAACTTCTACAAGTGCACCGTAAACTTGGAGAACGCAAAGCACCTGTATCCTATTTTTTTTTTTTTTTTTTTTTGCCACATTCAGTACATAGTTGTTGTCCGTGTCGAGTTTTAGCAGCTTTGAGGCTCCTTTTCCTACAGGCTGAAATCCACAAGTAGAAGATGCGGCCCGGCCTCCCCCAGATCCCATCTGTTGTGAATAGCTGTGAATATCCGAGTTGTGAATACCCAAACTATTCCGCCTAGAGGCTTTCAACCTCCTCCCCTTGAGGGCAGCCTGCCGCCTCTGGTTGACCAGTATCAGAGTACAAAGCCGTGGCCCCCTTGCCTCAAGGTGGAGGGGATAATTTTGTGTTTCTAGTCAAGCTCCAGAGCTCTTTCTGGGAATGAGCTGAGATCCCCCTTGGCTGGGCTTCCTCCTGCCCTGTCCTACTTCCTCCGTTCCTTACAGGTTTCTCCTGAGGGCTCTCCCGTCGCAAACCAGGGCAGAGAATCCGGGTCTCGAGATCTGCTTCTTAGACGCCTGACCTAAAGCTCTGTAGATGGACAGGTAAATGAGAAAGCAGGGCTGTGGGTGCCCACGGTTATTTTGCGCTTCTTGCGCAGGGACAGCCCTGCCCCCTACCCGATCGCCAGGGCTCCCCAGGCGCAGGCCTTGAGGCTAAGAATCAAGTTCAAGTAGCTGATTTGGAAAGTGCAGAAACGCTGACTGGGAGGAAGGAGCAAGAGAGCAAAAGGGAAGGGGTCCTCGCGGCACGAATGAAGCCAGCCCCACTTCCGAAGGTGGCCGGAGCTTTACGCACAGGGAACTCTCGGAAACAGTGGAGAACACACCCTTTGGAGGTTTCCCACCCCAGGGGTGGGGCGGACCAGGTACTTACACAACACTCGTGGCGCGTATTGGCTGACAGCTGCTCGCAGGGCTAACCGGCCTGCGTTTCCAACCTGCCTGGCCAGGGGACAGAATCGAAGGCCTCAGATCCAGGCCTGAAGGTACTGGCAGCTGCAGAAGGGAGGCGGGAGGAATACGGACGGAACACCAACAGCATGGGCTGCATCGTCCTTTAGGAAACGATTCCTCCCCAAAGTCCCTTCCGGGAGCTTCTCTTGAAGTTGCCGATCTGAGAAGCCCACCCACGGGCCTGGGCGTATAACCCATATTTAGCCAATCACAGCAGCCCCCTTCCTTGGCGACAAGTGATTGGCTCAAAGGGTAGACACGTCCTCCAGGCTGGGCCAATCAGAATCGTTCCCTAGCATTTTTATACAGTTGTCCGGAGAGAGCAAGAAGTCCTCTTTTCTTTATCGCTGAGGGAGGATGTAAGCTGGAAATTCTCTGCATGGAAGGAAGTGAATTACACTGCAAGAGAAGTGAATTACATCCCCCCTCTTTTTTCTCTCCCCAAACTATTGGCTTATGTCAGTACGGTTTCTGTTTCTCTCACTTGCAACGACTGAGTCCGAACTCATATGGGGTCTATCCTTCTCGTACTCCCTCAGACTCACGAGTGGCAGCATTCTGGAGACGAAGACCTATTTGTTGACTGAGAATCTTGGATTATGAGTCTGTGCACTCAAGGCCAGGCCATTCCCATGTGGTTTGTTCCCGGAAGGCTGAGCTCAACTGGAAAGCTTCGTATTTTTCTCTTCCAAGTTGCATAACACATGTGATTCCAGGAAGTAGGAATGCGGGTTGGGGGTGCGGAACAGAGAATCAGAGGGATATACCATGGAGTTGTCCAATGCCCTGCCCCCATGCAGGGGCGACTGCATGGTGGATCTCATGGGACCTCTGGGGAGCCTGTGTAATCCAGCTCAGAACTGTCCTTCCAGGAGACAAAACGGGGACACATTTGTGTGTGAGTTCCTGGGCCCCACTGCTCAAGGGGAGGCCGTGGGAGTTAACCCCATGGCCAAATTCTGGGTTGTGCATGTGTGAGTCCCCAAAGGGCTCTGCAATATTGCATGCCATGGTGTCTGAGAAGTCTGAGGGCCAAAGGCCTGGCCAAAGCAGCTGACAAAGCAGCTCTGTGCATCGGACAGGCCCGTGCAGTGACATGGGTTGGGTAGGGAGAGGGGGTGGGAAGGGTGTGTACCTCTCCAAGTGACCGTTTCTCATCCAGCAGATTGGGGGCCAAAGTCCACCCGTGCTGGGATTTTTTGGGTTAGGCTGATAACTGTGGAGTCATGTCTGTCTGCCACACCTCTTCTCTGCCTTGTTGACCTTTAATCTCGTGCAAAGTCCTTTTTCTGGTCACCTCCCAGGCCTCCAAAGACTTGGCTGGCCTGGTCTGTGTGTCGATCCCCTGTCCCCTGCCTGCTTCCCCTGACGCCGTTGATGGGCTGGCACCAATCCTTCCCTGGCTGCCATGTTCTCCTCCTGGTCCTGCCCCTTCTTCTTGTGTTCATCTCACCGACTTCTGGACATTTCTTTTCCTGCACACTCCCTGCTCTAGGTTGATGTTCTGTCAGTGGCTGCTCCCTTCCATGACCCTGGCTCCTGTCAGGCCATCCTGTTAAAAAAGAAATTATTCTGACAGTCGTTAAAGATGCAAATAGCCTTGTTTTAAGACCATGGCAATAGGAGAGAGGCTCTGAGCTCACCTCTGAATACAGCAGAGACAGCTGGGGGTTTACAGCTGGATGGGGGGGGGGTGGCGAGCCCTGGATGGAACCTTACAGGGAGGAGTCATGGTGGGGGGCACAGTTCTTGCTGAAGACAGGCCAAAGGTGGGAGATGAGGAATTTGATCAGATACCAAGGGTCAGGGGATTCTCCTTGAACTGACTTTGCAGGATTCTTTGCCCAATCTGGGCTTGGCAAGTCCAAGAGGTTGGGAGCCAAGGTCAAGACCTCATCAAGGTCAAGAGGAGCCTGACTCACATCCGGTCAAGGAAGAAGGAGCTTTAGCAATCCCCATCCGAGGCTCCCGCCCCCCCAGGCTGCGGGAACACTCCTTCCTGTCTCCCCATCCCCGGGCTCAGGGGACTGACCGCTTCATTCTTGCTGGCTCGGGGTGCCTCAGTAGCCCCTGTTGGTTCTAACTCAGAAATTCTCTTCAGCATTCTATCAGACGTGCCTTGGGTCCGCGGTCCTCACCGTGGCTCTCTCCCCTGGGAAAATGTGCCTTTCTGTCCATTTCTCTGTCATTTTCCAAAGTGGCTTTTAGAGTTGTCTCCTTTCTGTCTCACTGTCACCACGGAGGATCTGAACTTTGGTCCCGGGGGAAGATGAATCGGAACCCACAGCATTGCATAGAGGAAGCACCCGAGGGTCTGGCTTCCAGGCTGGCCACTTTTTACTTGCCATGTGTGTGCCGATGGACAGGTGGCTGAGCCCCAGACTCCCCTTCAATAAAAAAGGACATAGTAACAGTGACCCTGCCAATTAGCCTGCCGTAAGCACCGCGTCAAGTATTATCAGGTCACGGAAGGAATCTTTATTGAACGAAAAAGTAAATGGATGCCCAAACAAAATGAGCTAATGCATAAAGTCATCCCTAACTTCTAATGTCTAATCAAACTTTAATTTTTTTTTGAGAGAGAGAGAGAGAGAGAGAGAGAGAGAGAGAGAGAGAGAGCGCGAGCGCCAGCCTGTGGGGAAGGAGCAGAGAGAGAGAAAGAATCCCAACCAGACTCTTCCCTGTTAGCACAGAGCCCGATGTGGGGCTTGATTCCACAAACCATGAGACCATGACCTGAGCTAAAATCAAGAGTCAGACACTTGACTGACCGAGCCACCTAGACGCCCCCAAATTTTAATTTATAAACATTTATCTTTTAAGATGACTCTGTTAGCCAACTTCCACCTGATTTTTTTTCAACCTGGTTTTCTTTTGTTAATAATCAATTCATAAATTAGTGGGTTAAAATTTCCCCTGCAATTAACTCCATTTACAAATTTTGTTCTTTAAAAAATTTTTTTTCAACGTTTATTCATCTAGGAGAGACAGAGAGACAGAGCAGGAGCGGGGAAGGGGCAGAGAGAGGGAGACACAGAATCTGAAACAGGCTCCAAGCTCTGAGCTGTCAGCACAGAACCTGACGTGGGGCCCGAACTCACGAACCACCGTGAGATCATGACCTGAGCCAAAGTGACTGAGCCACCTAGGTGCCCCAAATTTAGTTATTTTAAGTTCCCTTAAGTGTTCCAAACTACATTCAAAATTTTTAAATGTCTCAATCTTAGACACCTTAAAAAACAACTAAATGTGCTTTTTTTTAATAATGGTAAAAAATACATAACATAAAGCTTAGCATTTTTACCGTTAAATTTTTAAAAATTAATTAGTTAATTTCTTAATTTACATCCAAGTTAGCATATAGTGCAACAATGATTTCAGGAGTAGATTCCTTAAGCCCCTTCCCCATTTAGCCCATCGCCCCTCCCACCACCCCTCCAGCAGCCCTCTGTTCTCTATATTTAAGAGTCTCTTATGTTTTGCACCCCTCCCTGTTTTTAGATTATTTTTGTTTCCCTTCCCTTATGTTCGTCTGTTTTGCGTCTTAAAGTCCTCATGTGAGTGAAGTCATGATTTTTGTCTTTCTCTGACTAATTTCACTCAGCATAATAACCTCCAGTTCCATCCACGTAGTTGCAAATGGCAAGATTTCATTCTTTTTGATCGCCGAGTAATACTCCATCGTCTATATATACCACGTCTTCTTTGTCCATTTGTCCATCGAGGGACATGTGGGCTCTTTCCATACTTTGGCTATTGTCGATGATCCTGCTATAAACATGGGGGTGCACGTGTCCCTTCAAAACAGCACTCCTGTATCCCTGGGGTAAATACCTTAGTAGTGCAATTGCTGGGCCGTAGGGTAGTTCTACCCTAGTTCAATTTTTTGGGGAACCTCCACACTGTTTTCCAGAGTGGCTGCGCCAGCTTGCATTCCCACCAACAATACAAAAGAGATCCTCTTTCGCCGCGTCCTCGCCAACATCTGTTGTTGCCTGAGTTGTTCATGTCAGCCATTCTGACCGGGGGGGAGGGTGTATCTCATTGCGGTTTTGATTTGTATATCCCTGATGAGGAGTGACGTGGAGCATTTTCTCATGTGTCGGTTGGTCATCTGGGTGTCTTCTTTGGAGAAGTGTCTGTTCATGTCTTTGGCCCATTCCTTCACTGCATTATGTGTTTTTTGGGTGTTGAGTTTGAGAAGTTCTTTATAGATTGTTGGATACTAACCCTTTATCTGATAGGTCGTTTGCAAATATCTTCTCCCATTCTGTCAGTTGCCTTTTAGTTTCGCCGATTGTTTCCTTCGCTGTGCAGAAGCTTTTTATTTTCATGAGGTCCCAGTAGTTCATTCTTGCTTTTGTTTCTCTTGCCTCCAGAGACGTGTTGAGTAAGAAGTTACTGCGGCCAAGATCAAAGAGGTTTTTGCCTGCTTTCTCCTCGAGGATTTTGATGGCTTCCTGTCTTACAGTGAGGTCTTTCATCCATTTTGAGTTTATTTTTGTGTCTGGTGTAAGAAAGTGGTCCAGGTTCATTCTTCTGCCTGTCGCTGTCCAGTTTTCCCAGCACCATTTGCTGAAGAGACTGTCTTTATTCCATGGATGTTCTTTCCTGCTTTGTCAAAGATTAGTTGGCCATGCATTGGTGGGTCCATTTCTGGGTTCTCTATTCTGTTCTGTTGGTCTGACTGTCTTTTTGTGCCAGTACCGTACTGTCTTGATGATGACAGCTCTGTACTATGGCTTGAAGTCTGGGATTGGGATGCCTCCTGTTTTGGTTTTCTTTTTCAAGATTGCTTTGGCTATGCGGGATCTTTTCTGGTTCCATACACATTTCAGGATTGTTTGTTCTAGCTCTGTGAAGAATGCTGGTGTCATTTTGATAGGGACTGCCCGACTGACTCCCTCGGTTAGCAGACGGGTCCTGTTTCTTCTGTGAAACACGGTAGCACGCTCAGCCCTGCACCTGTGGACTCCTTCCCCTACCGATTGGTCTCAATGCTTATCTAGGGCTGGGTGCGTTTGTGCCCAAACTTGTTCCTGGCAGTTGTGTTTGTCATTGTCATTAACTGATTTAATTAAGCATTGCATACACTGTGGGAATCTGAGGGTGACAAGAACGAGCGAACGTTGTCTCTAGGAAATCTAGGAAGGGGTGGA